TTATGTTTGGTTATGAGAACTCTAGCTCTGACAAAAATATGGAATTGAAATAAAGTATATTACAGGAGATATTCAGTTGTTTTAATCATAAAATGGATTTCTATTTGACAACTAGTGCCAGTACTTTTCCGCGTATCAAGATCATCTGGATGCGTACGTCATCAGTAGCGTACGTACGTGTAATCATCTGTATTTATTAAACAGCCAATCATAGGCAGACGCAAACAGGTAGGAACTTGTAGATACCAGTATACTATAGCCAATGCCATCATATATAGGTACGTGTTTGCTAGAACGTGGTAAACAACGAATCTAAACTGATAGCAGAAGGAAGGAACCCGCACAGATTTAATACAGGGTATTTAATACTTGACTGCATGTAAAAGTGTATAGATTGCCATGCTGTACTAGTAGGTTGACCATGGAGGTTGAAACCTTACAGCGGACGATATTAGCACATGTGAAATTGTGTATCAGCGTTTTGGTAGTTCGTATTATTGTATTATACTTGTGTCATTGTATTATATTGGCTAGTCCGCTAGTGTTTTCTCCGTAGATAGCCCAATAGTTAGGCATATTAAAAATCTAGAGAGCAATGCAGTTCTGGTTGCCTGCAACGGCCGACGTCGTTCACCGAAATCGCAGGGCCGCAGGTTCGATTCCTGTCAGAGGACCTATAGTGTTGCATTTTTCACAACTGCTCCTGGTTATAGGGTCTAAAATTGTGTATAAATTTGTTCACTTGGATTATCCACCAAACCCAGCATTCAAGTTCAACCAAGGCAGCCAGAACTACATAATTGCATTATCTAGATATTTAATATATTTTCGCCATATTTAACTCGGCAGCCACGGTTTTATTTAAAAAATTAAGTATTTCACTGAAATATTGAAGTAATTTAACGCGCCTAGCCATTAGGTTGCCAATGTTTTCTCTTAGGTTGTTGACCGTTCAAGCAAGAAACAGAGGGGATTTCCCTATAATTATTAATAATTATATTGTTTCACAAAAACAGTCTGTTGATCAAAAGAAGTCTCAGTCAGAGACCAGTGGCAGTGCATGGTCTCAGCATTAAGGACTACAGTAGTTGAAAACAATTTTATGGCATGATATAAAGGGTTAAATGATAAAAAAAATGCATGAAATATGTAGTAAGACACTAAATGGAGAATTTAATTAATTGAAAATATTTTGAATATGATCGACCAGGAATTCGTGCATATGGTCAGTTCAATAATCCCACCTCACCCAGGCCATAATATAAGTAAAGCTATAAAATAACTGCACTTTACTCTTTAGTCTTTTCGGATTAGTACAGCCGGAGTTGGTTTTTTTGTCGCTGTTGACAACACTGTTGTAATATTTATTTCAGTTCTTTGTATTGTTACATAATTAAGATACAGCAGCAAATTAATTGCCCCGTATTAAATCTATACGGGCTAAGGGCAGCATTACGCTAACCTTCAATCAGCTAGTAATTGTTGCTTCCTTCTGCAAGCAAACAAGTACCTATAATAGCATGGCTATATTACCGGTTTCTGCAAGTTCTTACCGGTTTGTCTGCCTATTCTTGAAGCATCTGCAGGTTATGGGGTCAGTTCAACTCACAATTGACACAAATACTTAGTGTAATTTCGAAACAAAGTCATTTGCTGTTTAATCATGTCGCTCTTCCGTCTGCTACTGTGCAATATTGAGTGTGTATCGTCGTGAATTACTATAGTTGTTTTTATTCACAAGATTGAATGGGGGGAGAGGGGATCATGAAGTTTGTTTTGTCAATACAATGACATTGACGTCAATGATAAATTACAAAATAATACGACCAATCCAAACGCCGCATGATACGATACTTCACATGTGCTAATATCGTCCGCCGTAAGCTTTCAACCATTTACTACACTCTACAGCATGAAAATCTCTACACTTATATAATACATTTATTTTTATAATCAACATTTATATAAATATGTAATTTTACAAAATTAAAGAATATCTCTTATATACTATAATGAAATTGCTTGTGTACTAAAGACCAAATATTAGTTTCATTGACATTACTAACAGCACTAACAGGTCTCTAAGGCATTAGCCATTACTAGTAACTATTAAGAGTCCTAAATATCAGGTATATAATATTCCCAGTCCCATATGCTGCTATATCTATTATTTCTACGTTCTATATACACTACAAAACTGTCGTGTAAGATTCATGAAAATTAAAAGAAACTTTAGAGTGGCGATCAAATTCGCTCTGCTC